GGGAGGGAGGGAGGGGAGGGATGGATGGGTGGATGGATGGATGGATGGGAAAAAATGTGCACAGAAATGTATGTACTTATGCATACAAAACACACACACACACACGCACGCACAAATATGTTAAAACATGTTACGCGGATTCTTCAGCAAGTCAAACGTGCTTTTTGCACGTGTGTTGGAGCCGGGCAACTATACAAACTAGACTAACTAGACCATCTGCGCGAGGATTTGTTGGTGTTGATATATCTGAGGGTTTAGGGCTTTTAGGGGAGCAAGCGCAGCGCCGGCCCTCTGGTTGCTGTGAGTCTTTTGCCGAGCGCCTGATAGCCGACGTACTGGAGCCAGGCCACCTTGCAGTCGCTCACCTCTACGCCCAAATACTCCTCCTCGGTTTCCTCGGTGTCCAAGGGCCCTGACCTCCCCCTGTGAAGCCAAAAAGCCAATTTCAGCAACTGTTCATCTTCCTTTCGCCGAGGGGCCGCCGGAAAAATGCCCCACTCCATCGGCCCCACGCTGCCTTCGATCTCCTTCACGGCCCTGGCATCGCGGGGCGGCTCGGCTCGGAGTCTTTTTGGGGGGCTCTCGGAGAGAGAGCTTCGAGAAATAAGGACAGGCGGACTCGTCGGCGAGCTCCATGCTGATGACGCAGTACCTATGGCGCGCTTTTACTTGCAAGTCGGGGGAACGAAGTTGGGGGGAGATCTGACACTCGCGGTTTTTCAGGGAGCGGCCCTTTGTCATTGACAGTCTCGGCAACTGCTGCAGAGAATTCCTCATGCTCATCAGGGCCCTTGGTCCCAGAGGGAAACGTCTCTGCATGCTTGGTCTCTGTATGTGGCAGATCGCCAGCCGGCGCCGGGTGCGGGACAGCGGGCCAGGCCACGTCGTAACCGCCATCTTCCGGGTGCGGAGGCCCGTAGTCCTCTTCCTGCCAGCGGGGGGCTCCCAAAAGGCGCCCGCGCGCGGCACCGGAGCGCAAAGAGAAGAGGGCAGAGCCGGGGGCCTCTTCGTCGCGTTCACGGTAGACCATGGCCCTTCGATCGACTCGACCGGCAGAGCAGAAGCTGGAACAGAGACTGGAAAAGCGCGCCTTCCAAAGCCAAAGCTCAAGGCCCACCATGTGGCGAAGCTGTGAGCCCAAGAGCCAACAGTGCACGACATCGCCAAGGGTCCGGGCGCCGGGCGGCAGTGACACACAGTTGACACACAGTGCCTCGATCGGATCGTCTCCCTTCACTCGGCCCCTCGCGAGTGAAGCAGCGAGGCCAACTGCCCGGCTACAGATTTTCCAACAGGGCATTGGCTTTGGCCAACTGCCCGGTTGGCCTAGATGGCCGACGTCCCCGTGTTTACGGGTCGTGGTGGCCAGAATCAAAGCAAGCAAGATGATCAGCTGCCTTTGTTTCTTACCCCTCACTTCCAGGCCACTCGACTCCTGGGCCAAGGCCAAAGCTCAGCGTCTCCTGATCTCCCCCAGGCGCTAGCGAGAAGGGCCTTTTTCATGCACGTGCCTTGGAACACCTCGCTCCCTAAAGCTCCTTAAACACTCCCAGGCTTCCCTTTCAGGGAAGCGCGGCACATGCCGAGACAAGGCCCTAAGCTTGAGACATGCTGGCTTCTCGCTCGAGCGGCCATACGAGGAGAATGGCCACGCTCGCAGATCGTTTGCTCTCATCCTGTAACTTTAAGTGCTCAGCTTTGTTGTTGATCTGCAAGAACCCAGAGAACACAACGGCGGAGAAGAATTCGGGTCGAGTCTGGAACCCCGTGTCTTCGGGACGGCTTCGCTCGGAGCCCGGGAAACCCTGCCCGCAGTCCGCACAGACCTCAACGCCTCTGAGGCTGACAGTGACATTTTACCATGCTGACAGAGTTACACATGCTTGTGACAATCAGTGTGCGAGCTGGGACGGGCATAGCCTGAAGGGGAAGTCATCTGTTTTATAAATTTGTCTTGGCAGGAAAAGAAATCTTTTGCTTTGGAGAATGATTCTTCTGCACCCGGCAGCTGCAATCAGCTCCGGCTGCCTTTCTCGCCTTGCACCGCCCTTAGACGCGCAAAGACTAAGTTCAGAAGGCGCCGCGAGCAGCCTCCTCTCCTCCAAGGACAGCCCTCTAGTCCAAGACCTCCGAGGCAACTCGAGCGCGGGAGCCCACCATGTCCTCGCAGAGGAGGGGAGGGGAAAAAGGGGGGAAGAGGGAAGAAGAAAAAGAGCAGCAGCAGAGAGGACTGACTCTGCAAACGAAACAGAAAATAGAAGAGAGAAGAAGAAGAGAGAGAGAAGAAGAGAAGCAACCGCAGCTCTTCGTTTCAATGTGGGCGCTCCCGGTCTGGGAAGCTGTGGGAACTCCGGATCATTCCTGGCCGGCAGGCAAAGGCCAAAGTCGTTGAGACTCCGCACCCGGAACACGGCGGGGAAGGACGCGGCGGGAGGCGATGGCGCGCCTGGAGGGAGGCGCGGCGTGAGGGTCGTGAAGTCGGCATCAATCAGGTCTTCTGCTCCTGGCAGCAGCTTTGGAAGACTCGGCCACTTGGGACTGTGATGCGAAGGACATCGGATGTCTCTGAAAAGCTGCACTGGATTTGGAAGGATTTCGACGACTTCGAACACCTGCTACGCGAAGACCCCTTAGAACCGCAAAGCCAAGTGAAGCCTAAAGCTTTTTCTCAGCTTGTCTCGACGTTTCCTCTTGCTCGGATCTTCACCCTCCCGGACTTACGTAAGAGATTCGGGGGGAGGCCCCCACGTGAAGGTTTCTTCTATAATTAGATACGGGTTTTACAAAGGGTTCTAGAAGGCTAAGGGTTCTGGGGCCAAAGTTGGGCTCCCGAGTGATTGAGGGGATCTGTGTCTGTGCCAGCAGCCAGCTGTTGTCACTAGCCTGGGAAAAAATATCTGATCGGAAGGCGCGCGGGCGCACGGCAACCCCACAAATAGGACGAATCCTTGCATCGGGGCCTGGACAGCCGAGATCAATGGAAGCCGAATCGTTCTGGCTCTCAAGGAAGCCCTGGGCAGCCGCTCCCAAGCAAAAAATGTGCCTTGCCCCCTGCCCCCCCTAGCCCGGCTTTTGAGGCCCCCAATATTTGGGGGATTGATGCAGTGTCGGAATCTGGATCTTAGGCCTTGGCCTCGTAGCCTTGGGAAAGCCTCGCAGGCCCGGACGGAGGATCCCGGAGGATCCCGGAGGATGGAGGTCGGAGGTCTCATTCTCGGCCGGGAGATGCAAGTAAAGTGAAGCTGAGGCGGCGACGGGTCTCTGCAAAGATCTAGATGTAGATGGTGTGCCAGGGCTATCCCAGAAGAGTCCTGCTTTTATGGTGAGCTTGCGGAAGTGTGGTCCGGTGGTCCACGTCCACTACTTCCCGCTCTCTCCTTCATCGCGGAGGGTGCCGTCCGTAAGCGGTTCTCACGCCGCAGCACTTCCGGCCTATAGAGCACCGAACTGCGCAAAGAGCACCGAACTTCCTGTGGTCCTATAGGCGCCCATCCCCCATTCCGAGCTTGCGACCGATGTCCCGGGCCTGAGATGGCAGAAAGGGCCACAACACAAGAGCCGACTAATTTCGGTGGAAAGAGTCCAAAAGGGTCGAAGGAGAGTCTACTGTGCGACTCAAGCAGCGGATCTTCGCAGGGAGGAGGCCCTTCTTCCAGTCCTCCTCCAACTTCTGCAACTTCTCGTTGCGCTGCCTTGCAGAGAGAGCTCGGAACTTCAACTGCTCCCTCTCTCAATTCGGCTCGGCCGAGTCCCGGGCTGCTCGACAGAGGGATCCGCCGTCTTCCTCGAAGCGGTGACCTTCCTTTCGAGCGCACGAAGAAGCTCCCCCGCAGAAAAGGGTCTCTGGGCTTCTCGGCTCCGGTCCTGTGAGCACTTCGGAGGACCTCGCTGGGAATCGAGTTGCCTTCCGAGCCATCGAACCAGGCATGCCGGGAGACCTGGACAGCTTTGGGCCTAGGTCGGCCCACTAGGTCTTCGCTAGGTCTTCGTTAGGTCTGTTAAGGTGGTCGGAAACTCCACCACTTCCACGACTCAAGCCAGCGCTATGCACATGAAGAAGGTGCACCCTCTGTAGGAGATCTACACGAAAATGAAAGCGTGGCTTCCGCATCTGGCAAAGTAGCCAACAACTTCCCCGCACCTCCTTGGCACTGAGGCGCTTCGTGACGTCATGCTGCAGCCTTGAGCAATAATATTAACGGCTTTTGGCACCGAAGTAAACATGATCGCAGTCACAGTCGGAGACCTACTCTACCAATTGTAGCAAGCACACTGATTAAGTAGGTGGGTGCGTGGCTACTTCGCTCGTCAGTCAGTACGGCAATAGCAGATACCCCGGCTGCTTCTGCTGGCCGAGGAACGCGGTAGTCAAGCAGTCCAGGCACGTGTTGCTCAGCAGCGCTCGCTTCTGCCAGGGGATCTTCTTTGTCACAACCTCCGCGGAATGCCCGACAGAAGCTGGAAGCAGCTGGAAGCAGCTGGACGCAGCTGGAAGCAGCTGGAAGCTCTGAGCACTTCTGGCCTTGATCATGATCTCTTTGGGATCCTTGCCATCGTAAGGGTAGGCTCCTTAAAGGGGGTGACGGATGCACGAGGAAAAATTGGAGAGAACAGGATTCTCCAACTCGGTGGGTGGCCGTACATCAGGAGATACATCAAGACACCGAAAGCCCAGACGTCGACGAGCTCCGTGTACCTGCCAGGCATGCACTTGAACGCCGTCCTCCCGTTTCACGGCGCCTCACTATTTCCGTTCAAGCTGTTGGGAACTCGCGTAAGTCTTGCATCAGAACTCTGCTGCGGCGCCTCTGCCCGATCAGTTCCGGCGCGACCTGCGCAGCTCTTGGTCGCTCTCATCGCTCTTGACCTTCCTCCTTCCAAGACTTGATGCCGACGAGGCTGCGTAGTGGGGAGACCCACAGAGCTCGGTCAGGAACCTGCAGACGATCTCTCGCTTTGCTCCGAAAGAGGACAGCTCTCTCTCTCTCTGCTCTCTCTGCTCTCGCTCTTGCGTTTAGAAGATGTTTAGCCTGCTTGCAACTGATTGCGTTACTCGTAGCCCAACAAGGAACACCGGGTATCGTCATGGTCGGCCACGTTTCGAAAGGCAAAAGCTCGGGGTCGAGGTCAACAGCGACCACTGTCCATGAGATAAGGTGTCACATGTCATCAATTGCGAGTTCCTTTGTTATTGCCAGTGTTGTTGCTTCTGCTGTGGCCGGTGCTGATTCTGCTGCTGCTGCTGCTGCTGCCGCTGCCGCCGCTGCCTGTATCCATGCTCAATCTTGATGGTGGTTCTGCCCTGGCCAGCCACAATTCCTGCAAAGCCTCCTTTACTTGCTGTGGCATTCACCCTTTCTGTTTCGACTCTCATTATTAACATATGACCCGATCCCTGTTCGGACGGCGCCGCGATGTGAAAACGTGCTTTAGAGAAGACACCCGAAGCTCTCCGGAGAAGCTCTCCGCTGCTTGCAGGTCAAGGCGCTGTCCTTCCTCAAATCTGCATGCCATCCCGAAGTCGATCATCTTGATCTCAGGCATTTGGAAAGGTTCTCTCATTTGGGTCCCTTTTTGATAGATCCCCAATATCCCCAATATGGTACGGCACCCTTTAAAAANNAAAAAAAAAAAGCTGCCCTAGAACTGACACTAATTGAGAGCACTACCCTACTTACTCCCAGCCATGGTCTGCTCTCGTCGCGCATCATCATTGAAATCACCACCAGGCATCATCATCGAACATCTCTCTGTCGCAACCGAGAGAGCTTGCATCAACACTGCCTCTACCAGGTGTTGCCATGACTTTGGGCTTGCGGCGCTGATGATCCACATGATGATCACGATGACGATGCCCTTGATGATGATGGTGATGGGGATGATG